AATGTTTTGAGTAAAACATTGGTGGCGACTCCATGAACCATTTTCAAAAACATTAATTAGGGATTAGTCTGGTGTCCAGGCATTCCCTAATTGATGAGATCTTTAAAAGGATCTCTAAACCATAGGTCTCAACATCAAATTTTTTTATAATTGTAGGTAATGATGTCTATAGAGAAGATTCTCAAGATTTGAGAATAAATCTTTTCCAATAGGGAAGGGATGATGGAATCTTGCCGAGGCCAAGAAGACCAAGAGGTGATACATTGAAGGACCCAAGAGGAATAGGTTAATTTTGAAGACCTTTCATATGATTGTATACAATAGTTATTTGTATAGGTTCATTTTTCCTTTGTATTTGTGAGACACTTTCTTTCTTTCTTATAGGATATTCCTTTTTGATTTTAGAGTATGTTACTTGGAAACTTTTGCTCCATTTGACCTTGTATTAAGGGTCATTCATTTTCATATTCTCAATAGTAGAAGTGGGGTGACAAATAGTAAGGTTTGTAGGTGCAACTAGTAATTGGGTCAGGATTGGGCCTAGACAAAATTTTACATATTAGACTTATTTTCCTCCATATTTTCCAAGGAATTGATTTTTCTAGGTCTCACCATCATTTGGTGAACTTAACTAAACCAATTCCAAGATTTTTGGATTGGATTACATGTTGGAACAAGCCTTGGCCGCCTAGCCTTTTTCATCTTGGCCGAATTGCTTTGGCTTGCATTGCACACTTGGGAAGCTTGTGCTACAAGCTTCTAACTTAGCTTGCTTCCCAAGCTTTTTAGTTAGAAGCTTGCTCCACAAGCCTCCTAAACCAACTAGGTCGATCAAGTTAAGCTAACCATGGTTCTCTTGAACCATAGTTAGCCTAGCTTGCACCACAATTTTCCTAACTCTATATAAGTCTTTCTTCTACCTTTGTAATCACTTTTGATTATATATGATATTAGAATTCAGAAAATTCTCTCTCTTTCAAGAGTCCTAGACCGTGGAGAACACCTTCTCCTTAAAAACCTTCACAAAGGAATCTTTCCTTTGTACTTTGGTTCATCAAGCCTCTTCTTCTCCTTCAAGAAGAGTGCGCTACCATTGTTGCTTCCGTTCAAGATTTTGGAGCTTGAAGATTCAATCTGTGTTCTTCCTACAACCTCAAGAAAATATTGGACTTGAAGATGGAGATAGTTGAAGAACAACCATCACTTCAACTAGGCGTGTTCATCATTAAGTGTATAAGCATCTCACATTATTTGCTTCTCATGTAATGTGGTTTATACTTTCCAAGATCGGAACTGACTAGATTTTTCTAAATTATGCTAAATAGCCTACATGATGAGTTACGCTAGAGTGGCATCACGAATTTTCATTTTTCTATTTGTTTGTTGAAGAAGAAATATTTGAGATTTATAGACTTTGAATTATTTCAATTTTAATTTATATCATTCAATAAATAATGTTTGGATAAATAAACTTTAAATTCTACTATAGACAATTGATTGTAAATATATGTTGAAATTTTAAGATTAAACTTTATAAAAATAACTATTGGTCAAATTTAAATATTTAAAAATTAAAAATAATTTTAAATATTTAATAATTAAAAAGAGAAGAAAATGTAGAAACAAAGGACGAAAGGCCATGAAGAGAGAGAAAAGGAAGATGGAAAAATGGAGAGAAAAAAGAAAGAAAGAAAAGAAATGGGAGAAAAGGGAGAGAGAGAGGAGAATAAACAAAGATGAAAATTAGAGCAAGAAAGAGAGGAGAGAGCGCAAATGCAATCAATTTTTATCGAGTTTAGGGATAGGGACATTAAGGTTGTGACACCTTTACTACCCCAACACATATCTTGTAATAATGTAAATAAACTAAGAAAATAAATTTTTCAACATCGGTAAAAGGGTTCACATAAAAACCTTTAGAAATATTCTTCAATATCCAAAATATTTTGAAAATGAAACTTGGAAAATAAAACATAAGAGGTTACAAAATGTTTTCAAAATAATATTTCATGACTAAGATATTTTTTGCACTCTCATGAATTATTTCTGTACCTTGGTTATTTTTATTTTATTTTTTATCTATGGTAGTTAGACTTGATTACTTTATTTAACCTTACATATGTATTAAGCAGTCGTTTGGCACCCTAGGCTGCCTACGGGCCTAAGGGTGTAAGGTAACTGAGGACGCCAAAAGCAACCAACAACACCAATTTTTATTTCTGTACCTTGGCGCAGAGAGAGGGGAAAAAAATCATGCAAATTCTCAATAATTTTAACGAAATTATTAGATAAATAAATTATATATAAATTATATTAAAAAGTCTTATAAAATATATCTATCAAAATAACTTATTGAAATTTTTGTTTTTAATATCAAGAAACTTTTTCAACTAGAATTTATATATTCTTAAAAAATACTTAACTTATCCACATACACAATTTTATTACTTTTTGAATATCATATTGTTAATTTATCCATACACAGAATTTGGTCTAATAAATAAATTATTTTATTTTAATTTTTAATTTCTCTCTCCATATTTATGATAAACTTATCCAAATTTACTTTTAATACCAAATACACACACATATAAATAAACAATTTTATTTTAATTTTTAATTTCTCTCTCCTAAAAATATTTATGATAAACTTATCCAAATATACTTTTAATACCGAATACATTTAATCAAATTGTAGCATAAAACTTTTGACATGAAGCCAAGAATTTCATTCGGTGGGTTCAATTGAGGATTACTGAAAGTATCATAAAAATAAAAGTTGACACAAGGAAAATCTATTATTCGAGTTGGAACATAATTTAGGTAGAGAGTTTAATCATTTCAGAAGTTTGAAAAATATCTTTTTTAGTTTTGAAGTTTGAAAATTGTTTTATTTTAGTTACATCCATTAAATAACTTATATTATCATGTTCATATTCATCTAATTATTTGTTGAAAATTTTTCTCTCATCAATTATGAGTTTTCCTTTGAATTCCTACCATTAGTGATCTGAATGTTCCTTCTGACTTTATAAAACAAAGACTTTATAGTGTGTTTGAATAAAGAATTTTATAAATTCAAGGAATTTTAAATTCTTGGTATTTGAATTACTTTGATTTCAATTTCTATCATTTTTAAAATATTTTGTTTGGATAAGTCAATTTAAATTTCTTAAATTTTAAATTGTTAGGTTAAATATCATAATTTGATTCTATCATAGTAAAATTGATTTTAAAAATATATTTATATGTTGAGATTTTTAAATTAAATTTTATAAAAATAAATATTAATCCATTTTTAAATATTTAGAAATTTTTAAAATTAATATTAGATAATATTTAATAATTTTAAAAATTAATATAAGATAATATTTAATAATTTTAAAAATATTTTTGAATATCCAATAATTAAAAGAATGAAGAGATAAGATAAAATATATAGGTGAAATAAGAAAAATAAATATAAGAAATTTTAAATTCTCCTATTTTTGGGAGAATTTGAAATTCTACTATTTTAAGAAATTTCAGTATTTCACAAATGCTTGGATTTCAAATTCTTTGTAAATTCCTCTTCCAAACAAAACATTTCACTTCAAGAAATTTGAAATTCTTCAAATAAATGAATTACCCTATATAAATTCCTCATCCAAACACACCATTAGGAAATGACAAAGTATAATGATTAAAATTATATTTTAATTAATTCAAATTTAGCTTTTTTAATTTTAGAGAAGTATGCTTTTATAGATAAATTAATTATAATAATTCTACTGCCTCTATTCTTATTTAATAGTTATTTAAACTTTTTATATAAAAATAAAAATAAATTTTGAATTTTATACAATAATTTTGATTTTATATTTTATATTTTTTTAATTTTACTCCACAATAATATATATATATATATATATATATATTAATGCGCAAATTCAATAAAAGTTAGATATTTAGTTAAATATGGGTATAATTAACAAAAAAAAATATCGTATTAAACTTTGTCAATGACAAATTAAAAATAAAACTCTTTTAAAAACTGAAAAATGAAAAAAAAATAGAGAAAATAATAATTACACTAATACATATGAGGTCTTTTAAATTAGTTAAATACCTTATATGTAAATGTCACTAATATAAAATGTAAGTGATTTCATGTCCTTCTTTCTAGCAATGTCACTTCCTTCCTGGCCCCTTTCCCAACCATACACAACCCCCTTCACACTACATCACTTTACCCTCTCCCTGGCTACATTTCCCCTATCCCTTTGTTGGAGTATATACAATGGTAAAATTATGAGGAATTAGATTTAAAGTGGGAAATATCATATTAATATAGAGATATATGTATGTGAACCTTGATGTTCAACAATGATATTAAAATCAATGGTCGACCAAGTGATTGACTTAGAGTCCCAGTTGATTATTTGGCAATGGGATAAGGCGGTGGATCCAAGTGTGGGATCCTTTATGATGAAAGCCTTCATATCATATGAAGGTCAAGCGGTATGTCTCGTTGATGTGAGTTAACGATGGTGTAAGTATTTATGTTGGCAAGTGTGACTAAGCTCTAAGAGCCAGCATTGAATACTCATGGATTGAAAAAGATGGCTTCCACCTAAAGGAGAGGTAAAAACCATAATCTTTTGTTTGAGGGGAGGAGTACAAACAAAGTCACACATCATTGGACCATGAAGAGAAACAAGGATTTATAAAGCACACATAATCTCTATTGGTATAAGGTCTTTTGGGATATTACAAAAAAGAAAAACTACGAGAGTTTATGCCTAAAGTAGACTATATCATACTAATAGGGAGAAGAAAGATGTGTGTGTGAACTCTCGGTGCCCATCAACCCTATTCCCCCGAATGCCTTATCTCCCTTTCCGCACCCCCAATTACACTTCATCTCATCCCCCAACCACATTGTAACCCCCTTCACACTACATCTTCTTCCCCTAAACCTTCTCCTCCAAATTTATGCCTCTACAAACCTTCACTCCTAAACTCACTTCCCTTTTTCTATGAACCTTTTTTTCCATGCTTTCTGATGCCATACAAATCTACGACCACAACCACAACTTCATCCATATTCACAACCTTGTTTGTGCCTTCCCCTTCACAAATTTAAGAAATTTAAACAACAAAAATACAAACAACATAGACAAATATGAAATGAAAGTGAAGGCAAAATAGATTTACACCCACAACACCCACTTCTAACACCTACTAACATTGAAAATATTATTTATTTTTTATTTTTTTTAAATATATTATATCAGTTGAAACTCGAACTCAAGTAATATGTTCCTTTCTACATTAGTTGATCATTGAACGGATGTAAAAAGTAGTACACTACATCAATTAAACTATAGTCAATGTAGTGTAATTGATATTATTTATATAAAAAAAATGTCATTATGTTGCATATTACATCAGTTGTTAGACAACTGATATAATATCTTGTTATTAAATCTCATTTTTCATAAGTTTTGACTAAAAATTAATAGTTATAATTATAATTAATTTTAAAATTATATATATATATATATATATATATATATATATATATTTTTATAA